CTATCAGATTGAAAACAAATGATATTGGAATTTAAAAGCTTTTATGCTAAAGTTTTAAATTTTAGAATTGCAGAAAAGGCTTGAGCTTTAGTCTCTAAGAAGTAGATCCAAGTATATTTGGTATAGACATCAATAAATGTAATGTAGTATTTATAACCATTACGTGAAGTAGTAGAGGTGGGTCCCCATAAGTCATAAACAACTAGTTGGAGGGGAGTAGTATAGGAAGTAATGGAAGTGGGAAAGGGTAGAGAATGGCATTTGCCAATAGCATAAGAGTTGCAAAAAGACAAATTTTTATTGATATGTGTAGATGACATACATTCATGAAGAATTTTATTTGTAATAAGGGAGGAGTGATGACCTAATCTTCGATGCCATATATCAATGAGGGAATTATAATCTGTGATGGTACAAGAATTATGAGCTTTGGAGGTTTGAAGAACATGAGATTGAGTAGGAGTGCCCTTAGAACCTGTTGCTAGGGTTAATGAAGGAGGTCATAGTGAAAAAAGATTAGAAGAATTTAGCAAATTCTACCTTAGACAAAATCAATCCGTGGGGAGATAAGGTTCTGATTTAGAAGAAAGAATTGCTAGGATTAATGAGAGGATTGACATTTAAGAATAATAAAAGAGAGATTAGGGATAAAGAGAATGATCAAATATGTGCTAGGATAGCGGAGTTACACGCAAAATGGCAAAGGTTTATGGAAAATTCAAGGAAGATAAGTAAAGAAATTCAAATTGAATTAGATGGTATGAATAAATGCCATTGGTTAAATTCCCCTAAAAACAATCATGTTTACGATTCTTTAGAGTTGTTATCCCTCCCCCTCTTTCCGCTATTGTTGCTATGGCTATAGAATGTAAAGAACAGGTTAGTGGAGACTCTGAACACAACACAGAGCCATTGGAGCATTCAGATTCTGCCATGGTCGAGATTCATTGCCAAATTACGCCTGGCGCAATTTTGAAGGATACTCCATCGGCCACTTTACAATATATTTTGTCTCCCACTTTTTCATATCCTATCTTGACTAAAAAGCCTTTAGTTTTGATGATTTAGAACAGGAAAGAACAACGTAAAAAATTACCGAAATTTTGGTGGCCATGAATGAAGCAACGGGAGAATATCCATTGGAAGACGATGGAAACAGTGGGGAAGCACAAGAAAGGTTGAATGTTGAGGGAAACAATGAGGATCTTGGAGAATTAACCCAATAAGTGCATGGAGATGAATATAAGGAAGAAGAAGAAAACGTCGATATATCTCAATATGAAGTGAGAATACGAACTCCGGTGCATGAGTCACAAGAAGATGAAGAGGAGGCTCATGTTCAAGTACAAGAAGGAGCATCTGGTCGTATGGATGTCCCAAATGAGGCCACAGAGGAATCATCTTTTTCTTCTTCAAAAGATAAGACCCATTTTTTATTAAGTATGAATGTTTCTAACTCGAATTTGTTGCTACTGCAGAGAACGCAGAGGAAGAGGTGCACTTGGCTAAAGTGGTGAAGAAAACGAGAAAGAAGAAAGTTTCAGCCCAAATTGCGCCTGACATGATTTTCAAGGCACGTACCCGAGCAGCTGTAGCGTGTTTGGCTGCCCAAAAAGAGGCCGAGGCTGGTCCATCTAAAAAGGCCAAGAGGGCTAGGGGGATAAGAGATGCAGAAGTGCCACTTGAGGATGCCAACGAAGAGGAGGCCGATTATATTGAGCAAACACCATCCAAGGCGAAAAGGGTGAGGTTGGAAGTGAAAAGGCACGACTTCACTACACGTGAGATCCTAGTTTAGAAGGGCTTTGACGAAGAACAAGAGCCTGTGCCTGAGTATGTCAAGCGACGACTTGTGGAGAATGGTTGGGAGAAGTTGTTAGCCCTATCTACGCGTCTATCAGAGGCCTTGGTAAAAAACTTTTATGCTGCCATCAACCCAAACCGAGGAGACATAGTGAGAGTAAAGGGTAAAGTGGTAAACTTTTCACCTCCCATTATTAACACTCACTATGGTTTGTCAGATGTGTTTAATGCAATAGGTAATGACATGTTGGTGCATCCGACGAACGAATAATTGGATGAGGCACGTCGACTTATTTGTAGAACACACAAGACATGGATTGTCTCAACAACATGGAAGCTTTCCTTAAAGCCCCTTGACATCAATGAACAAGCAACGACTTGGATGTATGTGGTGAAGAATAGGTTGATCCTCACTTCTCAGGATTCCTCCATTAAATGCAATAGGGTGATGAGGGTGTACATCCTAATGAAGGGCATTGAGTTCAATTTTGGCGAACTCATAAGAAACGAGATTCGAAGTTGCTCAGAGAAAATAGTAGGTCCACTTGTTTTCCTTGATTAATAACTGAGTTATGCTTGTAGGCGGGAGTGGAGGTCGATGATGCAGATGTAGTGACGCCGAAGAAGAGCAGTCACATCTCTACGGAGAGTTCGGGGATATTCGATTGACCAGGAGGAAGACTCTCCCATTACCGCCGCGGATCCCGACACCAGAGGAGTGGTAACTAGGGAGCAATATGACGAGCTAAGGCACAATTACGAGCTTCTCTTGGCTACTTAACATGCCACATGTGAGTTCCTAAAGAAGTTCTACGGTGATGAAGCATCTTCTTTCCCCGATGAGCTTATGGCCGATTTACCATCTTCTTTCCAACCTACCGGTGATGATTGCTCGAATGAGGATGATGATGACTAGGGGAGTATCTCCCTCTTTTTACTTTGATAGTAGATGTTTTGGATATTCATCTTGTACATTAGATTGTTTAGGTTTTTGTTTTTGTTTTTGTTTTCTTTTTGCTTTTTTAGTTTGCTTGTTAGGTTTAGCTTAGTTTTAGTTTTAGGTTAACTATTGGGATGTTGTGCTATTAGGAACAAGTATATAAGTTTTGTTTCGGTACATGATTAAGTTTAAGCTTGCATGCTTCCTTGTTCTACTAGATTGTCCTTAGCTTCTTCAATGCATCTTTTCTAAACTCTCAACATGTTCATCTTTTTAATGAAATTCTTTCTTTTACTATTTGTTTTTGTTGAAGGGAACGAATCCCAAGCGGAATCAGTTGATCGCTTGTGATTCAACTTGAATTAGAAATTATACGATACCGGTTTTCAAAAACATAACATTCCTATTAAAAACGAGGTTAAGCCTCACAGGAGGAAGAAAATGACTTACATTTGTAGACCGTTCACAAAAACTTCTTCCTCGAACCCGACTTTTTGATTGACACTAACAAATGTTCCCCTATGCGAACACCACCACGAAGTTACCTTACTATATCTCTAGGATTAATAACCGGATTGTGGGATCATGGTTCATTGAAAGGAAACCAATGGGAATTGGGATCGTGAGAGAGGTATATGATGTTTTATGTTTTTGGAGAAAATCCAAAACCATCAACCAAAAAAACACAGACTTTCTGTGTTTATGAAATAGGGAGGAGAGAGAGGAATCGGAGTAACCTCCCACCCAACTGATGTGATGTTTGATTAATTAATTAAATTAATTAATCAATTATATATATAAATATATTTAATTAAATTAATAATTAATTAAATTAAAATCATTTTAATTTAATAATTTATATTGAATTAAATAAATAATTTAATTAAAACTAATTTAATTTAATTAATAATTAATTAATTCTTATTTAATTAAATCACATTTAATTAAATCAATTAATATTTGAATCATATTAAAATATACATTTATCTGATAACCTATAGTATTTAATATTAATCCAATTCATATTAAATTTTAACGAATAGTTTTAATATGAATCCAATTCATATTATTCTCTCATGTATATAGTTCTATAATGTATCATCATACATTATATTAAATTGTGTCATACACAATTAACTCAAATTCCCTTTAATTAAATTTGAGCAATTAAAATTTCTTCTAAGACTTAATGTTCTTAATTACCATTTATGAGCTAGCAGGGGACCTAATGGACCTATAGATCAGAAGCTCCAACGTTACGAGATTAATTGGTTAAACTCATTAACCACCTTAATCAACATATGTTAACTACGGAGTTACTCCACTAAAAATCCGAAACTGAAATATTCTCACTATAGAATGTTTCTAGAAATCGACCATTAATGATAAGTAATCCTTCACGAGTGTTCGTAACCACAGATGGGTCAAATTATCGTTTTACCCCTATATTACATCTTATTCCTTAAATACCACTGCTCTTCTAATGAACAAACCGGTTATGTTTCGACCAATAATCGAAAGTCCCTCTTGGGCCAGTGAGTGGGTGGGACCCCCCTTGTTCAAGTCATGGAGTCAGCATTTAAGAGAACACTCATCTACTCTTCTAAGGTCGGGCCAGTAATCAACATACGTTAATTACGGGTTACTCCACTAAAAACCCGCAACTGAACTATTCTCACTATAAAATGTTTCTGTGTCCACGGATATCGACCATTAATGACAAGTAATCATTCACGAGTGTTCGTAACCACAGATGGGTCAAATTACCGTTTTACCCTTGTGTTACATCTTATTCCTTAAATACCACTGCTCCTCTAATGAACAACTCGGTTATGGTCCAACCAATAATCGGAAGTCCCTCTTGGGCTAGTGAGTGGGTAGGACCCCCTTGTTCAAGTCCTGGAGTTAGCATTTAAGAGAACACTCATCTACTCCCTTGAGGTCAGGGAGGAGTTAATTCCATCTTGTGATGTTATTTCCCAGCTCCCTACTCGGTCTCGTCTCCAAAATGGTATGAATGCTGAGTCGTCGACTCAGGCCATTCTCACCCATACATATCAAAGAACGAGCCCTCATGGGTAGAAGACCATAACTCACTCAGGATTGAGAATGAGTTGCCTAGTCATCCTATGAAATAGCAATCTATTAGTCAACGGTGTTACATCTAAAGATTGGTTGTTTCGTGGTCCGATCTTATACAAACGTATTGTATAGGATCGCCTGCTCAATTCCTTCGCCTTCTTCGCATTTAGCCAATTAAATGTCTTTCACATGCGCTCGCTTCTCTCTCCTTCCATATTCTTCGAAGAATTAGAGATCTCGATCGTTGTTGTCTGAATCGTCTGTCTACCGACAGCGGAAGAAGTTTCAAGAATGAGACAGCCATTTTCCCTGTGCGATTCCAGTACTCGGGATTCCTCACTCTCTCCTATCTCAAAATTAATCTTCCATCGAAGCACTATCTGGTTAAATTAATCACCTTTGATGTTCACCCCATAGGTTGGTTCGCTGTGAAGGTCGTGGGTAGCAAATCTGAAGCAATGCTAGCTGTTCAGTGGTCATGGGTACCAAATCTAAAGCTGTGGTAGTTGTTCGATGGTTGTGGGTAGCAGTTCGATGCTCACATGTTATCAAATCTATATCAATTTTCAGATCTAAGCCATTTGTATGCATTTTATCTTTTCCATCAGCTTGCTCCTAAGGTAAAATTCTCGACTCCTTTACATTTTCCTGCATTTACACATGGGTTGATTGATTTCTTGGTTGGATGTGGATTTATTGTGATGAGAAATTCATATTTAATCTGTTTCTATTCTTAATTCTTAGTTATTAAGTATTGATTTTGTCGGTCAAACACCATGCCCTACTCTGTATTATATGGTATAACTAGTGATATTATACATTACATTGTTTCGACGTGAGAGTTCCAGTTTATATTGCCAAGTAATATCTTAATATTGGACTCCCTAATGCTGGAATCTCATGAATTATAATGACCTGTGCTAATATTTACTTGTATTGATGTGGCATGTGGGAAAAATCATACATGAATTATCTTATTGTTTGCCTTCAAAATCCCAATGCATGATTTATCTAATTTTGATGAAGGCAATTAGAGTGGTCGAAGTTAGAGGCACAAATATGAACAATGAATGAGACCTATTAATTCTGTAGCTACTATTAAAAACGATCGAGCACGCATGAATCTTGAAGATTTTTCTTGTCATAGAGATGTGGGGAAAGGTAGTAACCTAATTAGCTGCAGCAGAATTATGCTTGCTTTATCATAAAATTTCTCACTGACATATTTTCTTAGATATAATATTTTTTTTAAACAACCAAATTGATTAAAAGGGGGTGGTGCATTTGGAGTCTGAAGATGGGCTGGTAACTTCCACTTTATGTTCGGCTCCCAACTTTCCGAATAATATGGATAATGGGTTACATTCTATGGCAATGGGTGAAATTAAAGTCAATAATGGAGTAAAAGAGAATTCCAAATCTCTTGCTTCATGCTACTATGAAAATAAAATCACATATTTATCAATGCTGGGTCTTTACTGGAGTGATGCTTCAAAGATTTTTTTTCTCCTGCTCCTTTCTATTTTTTGTTCATGTAAGGTCATATGATGACTTCAAATCTCTTTGTTATAGTGTCTAACATGTTGAATATCATTCCAGCTTTATGATTGGAATCTAGCATAATTCCCTAGAAGACTTCACTTCTATTTAATATGATGTTTATTGCTGATATATTTTATCATCTTTGTAAGGGAGACTGCAAAAAAATTTATTCAATTATGGGAGCCTTCTTCTGGAACTTTATGGAACGTCAATAATGCTCCATTTGATGGACATTCTACCAGTGTTTGAAGATCTGCCACATTTCTTAAAGTACCATTTCTTATGATGCTGCTACTTGAAAGTGGGATATGTTTCTACACTATTGGAGCTGTAAGCCTCAATTTTACATCGCCCTTCTTATGGCTTCTAACATTCAAACTACTCATCCTTTTAACTAAGGTTACTCGATCTAAAATTAAGTTATTTGAAATGTTTAATTACTATGAATTACATGATGCTAAAGATATGTGAGGATTGACGGACATTTTATCTTGTCATGATTATTTATTTTGACTTTCAACTTTGAACATGTCTAAAGTTTGACCTAATTAGGAGACTATTTTATAGATTCTTGACTTCTCAAATCTCCTTGATGATGCATTCTAGTGTGCTTGAGTTTGAAATAAACTAAGATTTCTTAGTGCTAATTCGAGGTTTATAGCTAACTTCCATTTGAAGTAGACTAAAGAGAGCTCCTTCTTTGGAAAGTGTTATATCACGTAGACTTTACATATTAGTTGAGTGAGAAATCCACTCAGAATGGGATTGGTTATGTTATATCCATAGACGGGAAAGTTTACCATGCTTGATTTCTTGATTTTTTTGGTCTCTCAATCTCAACTTGGGTTATATTCGTAGGAGGAAAAAAGTACCATATGTTTGTAACAAATAGACTATTTTATCCCGAAATAAATTACAATATGTTTGTGTCTACCATAATGCCTCCTGAACAAATGATGTCTATTGAAAGAAATGAATTTGTCTAAAGATTGGATTTTTTTTATTAAATGAATTGGAGCACAGTATTATATTACAAGTTTCTCTCTATGACATAATCAATGTTTTCTTTCCTTCTCTTCTACGCTTCAGCATCTTCTTGAGTTTAGGCTTATTGGTGTTTTAATACTTATCTCTCCATTGCAAAGTTTCTTAGTTGAGGCTATATTCTATGGCAACAAACTAATGGTGAAAGTGGTGCCCTTATGTAGTTCCTTGCATTTGGTTTCCTACAATTGTGGTATTATTTATAATTTATAATTTATATTAGTACTTTGCTTCTCTATCATTTTCTCTCTCTAACCTCTTGGAATTTAGAAGATATTTCATGTGGCATTGTTAATTGCATGTATTTGAAGGTTTATTTGCTACAAATTTGTTGGATTATTTAGGTTGATTTATGGTCATGTTTTTTTTGGTCATTCCCTCAATGAGCATGTGCATATACTGCTAAGAAAAATCAGTTGTTGCTCTGTTTGCCTTTAGCATTATGGAAGTGATAGTGTGGGAACAATGTAACAACCCGTATTTTCTAATACGGTCATTTTTACAAAATACGGAAACGTAACTTTCAAGAAACTTTAAGAACTAAAATTATTCAGCGGAAGCAATTTCTTTATAGAATTTTTCTAAACTAACTTAACTAAATAGGAAGATGACTTTCAAACTCATGCCAGTATGCTAAACTTCACCTTCTACCAGAACGATCATTCAATCCTTCATCTGAAAAACATTTAGGAAAACAAAGATGAGTACAAAAATACTCAATAAGGTAAAATATTTAATACAATTTTCAAGACTTTCAAAACAAACTAAATTTTCAGAAACAAAGTCTTCAAATAAGGTAAAATTTTCAGTCAATCAAAACAAACTTTCATTGTTTCAAAACAAACTTTCATTCATTCAAAACGAACTTTCATTTGATCAAACTCAAAATCCTTCAAAACAAACTTTCTTTCAATCAAAACTTTCAAAATTCCTTCTAAAACATTTGGTACAACTTTCAAACTTTCGAATAACTAAATCATTCAAACATTCCAAAATCAGAGTGGACGGTTGCATTATTTGGGTAGCCTACAAAACATATGTGGTTACTCGTCGGTAACCACTAATCAATCAGAAGCTTCTATCAGAGTTGTCGAATTAATATCGACCAAAACAGAGTTGTCGAAATAATATCGACCAGAACAAACAGAACGATTACTTAAGTGTGAGGCCATATGAGTGAATAACACACACATTAATCTTCATTCCCGAGGAATGTCAAACCACATAAGTGCCTTCCCACAAATAAGACAGAACAGAAATCCATCAATTCTAAATTAGGCTACTACCCCAAATAAGTAAAACGTTCCTCAAAACAAAATCATGGCATATCCGGATAGTCCTATCAAATCAATCAAAATATCTTTAAAATAAAATACAAAACAAATACTTACTTTCAATATTAAATTAACTCAAAACATTGAAATAATTTTTTGAAAAAAAACTTTATCAATCCTCCAAAACATGGTTGCAAATATTTCACAAATAAACAAAATATCAATTTCAACCTTTAAATAAATCTAAACAAAATGTTATCAAATAATATAAGAATACTTCAAATACTTTGCAAATAAAAATAAAATCAATTGTCAAATTAGTTTTCAAATCCTTAATAAAACTTCAATTTCATACGCAAGATATCAATTTCAAATCTTCATATCAAAGCCAAAATAAATTTTGGTTTTCGAAGGGATATGGTAAATCACTTACGACACTTTTCTAAAGGATACGATAAATAATTTACAACACTTTTCGAAGGGATATGACTACCCAATTTTTCCATTCAAAACACTTTTTTATGCAAAATAATTAGGAAAGTATGGATTTGAGGCTACAAAACCAGATCTGAAAACTGGGTTAAAAAGCCTCTAAAATCAACAATAACAACCTTTAAAATTAGAAGAATCGATATAAATCAATACGAACTAAATTTACAAAAAGTTTCTCAATAAAACCAGCTTAAAAACCTTCTAAACAATTGAAAATTTGGGGATTTTAAATCAGGAAAATTTTATGTTTTTTATAAAATAAAACTTCCAAGAGTTTTTCATAAAACACATTAGCATAAACAAATTTATACAAGAAAATAGGTCGTGTGACTGTCATACTTTAATTTTGAGAGTGAGTCACTTTGCAATTGTTAAGTAGGTAAAGTGACTCGAATAATTGAGTAGAGTCAGTATGAAGTCCCTTAGATTCATTTGGTCAAATTTATTACAAGTTGTGATCTCTTTTAAAATATTAATTTCATATACGTGTATTAACAATTATATTACAAAATTATAATTGGTCGACCTAAGAATACACTATAATGTGACACTCGAAATGACGTTCCTTTCCTAAAAAATTTCTATTACAAAATAATTGATTTCTAGGTAGGTCTCATTAGATCGAATTATCCATGACTATTGGCGACCTCCCTAAAAAAACTAACATTGGAGTAGAACTTCAAATTTTTAGCCAAAAAATGTCATAAGGGGTACTTATGGAGATTTCTTAATCTCACGAGTCTCACACAACAAAGAAATGAATATCAATTAACTTCTGCTACCCTTGGTGGTCATATTTTGCACACGTGGTATGAAACACATGTTACAATATTTTACTCACTCTTATTAGAGCATTTGTCTTAATTAAATATTGTACAGATGTTAGTTCAATTATACACGATATCTAACTTGCACCCACAACGCTACCTTAATATTTTTATCAGCTAATGATAATGGGACTTCCATCTGACATTCAAAGACAGTTTAAAGCTGAATAACGAAATTTGTTAACTTCGATCATGATATGATCTCATATTGATCACGTATCATAACTAAAACATCTCCAAGAAACATCTATAGACAACTTTTAGGTAAAAACACAACTTTTAATAGCAAGCTAAACATAACCAACCTACTAAAGCAAGGGACAAATTTAACTAAGAACAATAAAAACTGTGACTATCCTAACCAAAATAAAAAACTAGAAAACTGATCAGCTACATAGATAATGGTTTTTTCGGTCAAGTCTCCTCCATGCCATCACCAATCTCGTGAGTTACCTCGTTACCTACAAAATCTGGAAGGAAAGAGAGAGGGGGCGAGTACAACCATTAGTACTCAGTAAGCAGCCCCTTACCTGAAGGGTCATACACAAACAACATGATTTTCACAACGTCAAACATCGTGTTCATCAAAATATATATATATATATATATATATATATATATATATATATATATATATATATCATGTATTTTAAGTAAGATCAAATATAAACTTGCTAAACATGCATCCTACACGTCAAGCCCAAGCCTCACAAAACTTACTAGACTTCCCTTTCTTATTCCTCAAAAACTTTCTCCTTCGAGTCGTACCGACCCCTGACCATCTACCCAAAGCATTGACACTTCTCTATGGCGCTTGGCGTTTGACCCTTTGACCACACATAGCCAATATCTCAAATTATTGCATCGACCCTTAACCACGCATAGCTAAGACCTCGATGACTTTGCAACATATTGGCTCTTGCCATTTCTTACCAAGGCCTCAATACTTGCCTTCCTCTAGGACTCATTGCATCAACCCTTGACCAGTCATACCCAAGTCCTCGACACTCATCTTTGTCCAAAGTTGGCGTATGAACCCCTTACCATTTACCCAAAGCCTCGACACCTAAATAGTAACGTATCAACCCTCTGACCTTGATACTCACCCATTCTCTTCATAACAAGTACAACTCTCACACATAAGTCCTACCAACATGCTTTCTAAGTCTGACCCATGCAACATTCAACTGACAAGAAAATTCAGCATGCTTTCATAACCAAAAACAACATGCTAATAATTGAAACAATATGTTCAACATGCTTGCACAACATAACAAATTTCTCACAATTTATTTCATTATACTCTACAACGATCATAGCCAAAATAGAGCATAACAAATCAACTATAATCAACTATAAATAGCTAGAACCATCCATAATTCATCCAAAATACTCATAGTCATTAACCAACAATCATGGAGAGATAATTAGTAAGGGTAACAATAACAATATCCAATAAGTATCAAAACAAATAAAATATATGAGATAAAACAAACAATGCATACATAATCATACTACACACATCCTCACAAGTAAGAATTACTTTACAAATAGGGTCCTAACGCTCCAAAGCTTCGCCAAAAGAATCCTAGATTGAAAGGGACGAAACTTTAGGTTAGTAACTCATTCAAAAACAGTTTAATTGAATTGAAACAAAGTTTAAGTCAGTCATTACCTACTGACTCACACTGAAATCACTTAGGTTAAGGTTGAGTCAATGTCAAAAAGGTTCAACACTACAGATCTGAGGCCAGAGAGGTTCGGGCTTGCAAATTCAACACTGGCAGGGGATAGGTAACTCAAATCAGCCTTCATTTGGGTGTGGATTAGCATCGAAAGTCGCCAGGTTGCTGTTGTTCTCATCGAGATCGAAAAATGGGTCACTGGAGATGTTGGTTCATGTGCTGGTCGTGGCTGCAGTAGAAGTAA